GAGGCTGAGGCGGGTGGATCACCTGAAGTCAGGAGTTTGAGACCAGTTTGGCCAACATGGTGAAACCCTGTCTCTACTACAAATACAAAAATTAGCCAGATGTGGTGGTGGGCACTGGTAATCTCAGCTACTCGGGAGGCCAAGGCAGGAGAATCACTTGAACCTGGGAGGTGGAGGTTGCAGTGAGCTGAGATCGAGCCACTGTGCTCCAGCCTGGGTGACAGGGTGAGACTCTGTCTCAAAAAAAAAAAAAAATGCTATTAGAAATAATCCTATATATATTTCTGTTGTGTATAGGATATAGCACTGGAGGATACATCAAAAATCTTTAGGATATAGCCAGGTCAGTGTACTAGCAAGCCAGTCATCCCAGCTACTTGAGAGGCTGAAGTGGGAGGATTGCTTGAGCCCAGGAGTTTGAGGCCAGCCTGCCCAACACAGTGAGATCCCATCTCTAAAATTTAAGAAAATAAAAATCTTCAGACTTTTTTAGACATTTAGATTTTAGACATTCTAAATGTAGGGGATAGAACGAAGGGGATAGAAGGATGATTGGGGCGAGGTGTATGAATATTAATATGTTTTCTCATGTGAAGGGGGGTTTTATGTTAATTATATGGTGTGTGAGTGTTCCTCGTTGCATTGTGATGAATATGTGAAGGGAATAGAGGGCTGTGATTAGTATATTAAGTCCTGTTAGTATAATAGTAATATGAGATCAGGAAAATGAGGTTGCAATTACGAAGAGTTCGCCTAGTAAGTTGATGGTGGGGGGGTAGGGCAAGGTTAGTGAGATTTACTGTGAACCATCAAAAGGCTATTAATGGAAGTAGGATTTGAAGTCCTCGGGACAGTAGTATGATGCGGCTGTGGGTGCGTTCGTAGTTTGAGTTAGCTAGGCAGAAATATATGGAGGAGGTGAGTCCATGGGCAATTATAAGGATGGTTGCGCCAGAGAAGCTTCAGGGGGTTTGAATGAGGGAGGCTACGATTACTAGGGCTATGTGACTTACAGAAGAGTATGCGATGAGTGATTTTAAGTCTGTTTGTCGGAGACATATTAAGCTTGTTATGATTATGCCTCATAGGGATAACATAAGGAATGGATAGGCTATGTGTTCTGTTAAGGGGTTAAGAATGGAAGTAAGTCGTATTATGCCATAGCCGCCTAGTTTTAGGAGTACTGCGGCGAGGACTATTGATCCTGCAATGGGGGCTTCAACATGGGCTTTGGGGAGCCATAGGTGTAGGCCATATAGGGGCATTTTTGTCATAAAAGCTATTATGCATGCTAGTCAGGTAAGGTTGTGAGATAAGGTGGTTGTTAGTTTTTGGTCTGTGAGTGTTAGTAGTATAATGTTTAGTGAGCCTGTGTTGTTGTAGGTGTGGACTAGTATAATGAGTAGGGGTAGAGAGCCGAGCTGGTTAGTGTGTAGAATAGAAAGTATGTGCTTGCGTTGATACGTTCTGTTTGGTTGCCTCATTTAGTGATGATAATTAGGGTAGGAATGAGGGTAGTTTCAAACAGGATGTAGAATATAATTAGTTCTGTAGCTATGAATGTCAGAATTAAGGTGATTTGTAGGGAGATTATCATGGAAAGATAACATTTCTTTTGTGAGGGGGGTTCGTTCTATCCCCTAATTTATTCTAATAAAAAAGTTAAAAGAGCTAAAAGACTTAGCTCTGCAGATGTTCTTAGTAGCATTTTAAAACAAATGCAAAAATGCAAATTATACTAAATTCTCAATAACAGGGCCTTATTTAAATGAATTACGGCATATGTATGTAATATAATATTAATATTATGTTAAAATTATGGCAAGGAGTATATTATTATTTATTTTATTTTATTATTATATTTATTGATAAGGAAAGACTTACATGGCATACTGTTAGGTGAAAAAAAAGTCTGGTTATAACAGAATATATACAGCATGAGTGGACTTTTATTTTAAAAGACTATTTGTATGTAAGTGTATATTCAAGCAGGTCACACCAAAAGTTTACAGTGATATGTTTGAAAAATATAATGAGGCTGATTTTTCTTTCAGTTTTACTGTATTTTTTCGGTTTTCTAAACTCTTCTTCATAAGCATGGCTATGGAATTATCCCTGTATTCTCAGTCCATAGCGTATTATTTTGCGTAGAGGTTATATATAAATGTATATTTGACTGTATGAAAGAATATACATTATCGGCCGGGCGCAGTGGCTCACGCCTGTCATCCCAGCACTTTGGGAGGCCAAGGCAGGCGGATCACCAGGCCAAGGCAGGCGGATCACGAGGTCAGGAGATCGAGACCATCCTGGCTAACACGGTGAAACCCTGTCTCTACTAAAAAATACAAAAAATTAGCCGGGGATAGTGAGTGGCTGGTGCCTGTAGTCCCAGCTACCCGGGAGGCTGAGGCAGGAGAATGGCGTGAACCCCGGAGGCGGAGCTTGCAGTGAGCTGAGATAGCGCCACTGCACTCCAGCCTGGACGACAGAGCAAGACTCCATCTCCAAAAAAAAACAAACAAACAAAAAAAAGAAAGAATATACATTATCATAAAGCCACCAAGGTAAAAACAATTTGATCATATGGGGTCATTCTAAAAGGTAAAGAAAATCAGTAACTGCCATGGAAGACATTTACCATACGTTTGCGCTTGGAACTCTACAACCACAGCACGAATTCAGTTGTAGAGTTTTCTTGTTTTGTTTTGTTTTGTTTTTGAGACAGAGTCTCCCTCAGTCGCCCAGGCTGGAGTGCAGCTGCGCGATCTCGGCTCACTGCAGCCTCCACCTCCCGGGTTCAAGCGATTCTCCTGCCTCAGCCTCCTGATTAGCTGGGATTACAGGTGCCCGCCACCACGCCCGGCTAATTTTTGTACTTTTAGTAGAGATGAGGTTTCACCATGTTGACCAGGCTGGTCTCGAACTCCTGACCTCAAGTGATCCACCGCCTCGGCCTCCCAAAGTGCTGGGATAACAGGCATGAGCCACTGCCCCTGGCCTCAGTTGCAGAGTTCTATGTGTGTGGTTCTATATTGGCTTAACAAATGACGCTTTGCAACTCACTGTAGGCTGCTCAATTCTTTCTCAATGATGTTGTAACCAGCTCTCAAGATATCTAATGTCCGAAATGTATAAAGCACTCACTTTCTATCGGAGACTGTTAAAGTAAAACCAAGAGCTAAGTCCTAGAGTACGCTTTAAACTTTAAACAGTGATTGTTCTGCATCCACATTCTTAAAGTTTCAGGCATCACAACACACATTTTTGAAAAGTTTTGTTTCTCCTAAAATCATTCATTGTTTTCTCATCCCTCAAAAAACCAAAACCCCTCGAAACGAACAATAAAACCCCACAGCTTTTCCCTCCCAGAATCTTCAAAACAATAGGCAGTCACAAATAAGATATCAGCGGAGTGTCCCAGACCCTTTTTCTCTCCGCTTCAGCTCCCCCTGACGTCCCCTTCCCTTCTGTCCTGGTCTGAAATCCTCACCATTTAGAAACCTTCCTTAGGATTAGAGGACCAAGATCATCCCTCAGGGGGTTGCTCAAACACACGTTCCGTCCTAGCCCCTTCTCACGGGTACGCCAGTTGGGATTTTAGCAGATTTCCTAGCTAGTCCCGGGGCCGACACAGACAGCATCCTTCTGTGTGGTTACGAAGGAGCCTAGGGCTTTGTGGGCGGCGTAGAGCTCAGAGCCAGGAAGGGCTGACCTAGTGGCAGAAGGGTTACAACCACCCGTACCCATCCGGCCCGCCTGGGGAGGAGGCATTTGGTCCCTTTTAGGAGCTGGCGCTTGTCAGAGCTGGTAAAAACCATCCCACTCCCTGAGGCTCTCGGATCGAGGAAGTGACTCTCCAAGGCCTTGGGGAGGGTCAGGCTATGCGGGTCCTCCGTGTGTGTCCCTGACCAGGGCTCCTGCCGTTGTCCCACACTGAATTTCAGGTGTCCCCGGTGTCTCACTATTCCTGTTTGCACTACAGGTCCTCCGAGTTCCTAAACCAGCCAGCCCAAAGATGCTGGAGGCCTCACCATTGAAGCCGATCACGGCGTCAAGTTCCAGCTCCGCCACTTGGGCCTCCGGCGAAATTTTGTTATCCATCCCTGGGAGGTTCTGCTTACTTTGCTCTCCGCCCTAGTGGGTGCAGCGTCTTCTGGTCGTTATGGTAACGGACGAGCGCATGCGCGCCAGCTTCACGCCCGCGCAGAAACCCAGCCTGCCGAATTCGAGTTCATTAGCATTCTTGGAAATGAAGGGAGATAGGGACTGGGAGGGAGATAGGGTGGGATTCATCTTTTTTGTGTCTGCTGTTTCTCTGGAAATTTAGGAGATGGCACTAACTGCACAGAACTAATTCCTCCATCCCCTCGTGTTGAGTCTGTGACTTCTTAGTAACTCTAAAATCAAGCACCAAATGAATGGCATTTTAAAAAATATGTAATCAAGCATAGAGGACTGATGGGAAGGCTGCTATAAAATAAATAAATACATAAATATATATATAAAATTGATACTTCTTTGGGCCCCTGTTTAAAGCAGCGTGAAAAAATATTTTAAATATATTTTTTAAAAGCGTTATTGAGGTATAATTTACATATCATAAAGTTAACTTAAAGTAGGTTGTAGTAAGTTTACGAAGTGTGCAAGTCGCACCGCAATCTAGTGTTTTGTTTGTTGTTTTGTTTTTTTGAAGCAGGATAAATTTTTAAGTAACTGCTACGGAGGTCTTGCAAGCGCTCCCACCTTCCTGGGAAAATGGTTAGTTTCTATTTAACAATTTTAACTGAGCTCAGCTGTTCGCGTCTCTTAGTGGGAGTAGATTGCGCCAGCCAACTGTTCCCAGGGGAGCACTTTCCTTTCTCTGATCATGGTTCTTAGGCTCTAGTTATTCACTTTGCAAACTCCAGGCTCCGGTCGCGCACGGGACGAACTGCGGGGAGTGAGCCGTGCGGGCCGCCGTAGTCAGCTGCTAAGAGCAGGAAGAGTCCGAGCGGCGGGCGGAGTCTGCAGGATGGCACCGGACCCCTGGTGAGCCCAGGGTGAGGGTGGCGGTGCGCGGAGGGACCTTCGGGGAAGCCGGGCTTCCGGGGAGCAGGCGATCACTTCGCATTGCCCCTGGAGGCCTTTCGAGATGAGGGGAGGGGCAGCGAGACCCTTCCTCTACTGAGGGGACTCAGCCACATCCCGCCACCCTTGGTCCTTCCAAGGGTAGCTGGGGAAGGAGACCGGGTGGTCAGCTGGAGAGCTGAGGATTTGAGCCAAATCTCTGAATATTTCTCTAGCTTTTCTGGGCTGCATCTCGCTGCGGGGATTTCCCGCCCATCCTGGTTGTGGAGCTGGCCGGTGCAGGCTTCCTTGGACTCCTATAAAAGTGAAGTCGAAATAACCTTTTTGTAGCATGTCTGTCCATCTCGGTAAACCCCCTTATTTCACAGGTGGAGAAACCGAGGTTCAGAATCCATGGTCACCAGCCAGTTAGTAACCAGCTGGGTCTAAGACCTAGATCCTGGGGGCCCTTCCAGATACAGGAACCTGGGAGGGAAATTGTGCGCTTGTTTATAAGGCATTTTGCACTTTCTTGAGTTAATATCATGAAGTCTTTTCATTTAGCAGTAGCTTCTGCAGTAAAACAATAGGTGATAAGGGTCATTTATTTAGCAGTCAATCCCAAGGACTGCTTGATGAAAGATGCAACTTTTGATCTCAAGGAACATATTGTTTGATCCCAAGGAACATATTGTTATTGAACATAGACTTGACCTTTCTGCTTAATAATTAAAAACATTACAGCTCTATAGCGTTCTTGTTGGAATATATGTCTTATGTTGTTATTTCTAATATAGTTTATAATTCTTTAAGTTACCCTCAGCCTGGATGTTAGAAGAATGGGTTCCAAGAACAAAGTTGAGTTGCCTGGAATCTAGGTTATTTGGGTCAATTATTTAATTTAGCAGTGACTTTTTTAGACCTAATTTTAGGCCGGACGCGGTGGTGGCTCACGCCTGTAATCCCAGTACTTTGGGAGACCGACGCAGGTGGATCACCTGAGGTCGGGAGTTCGAGACCAGCCTGACCAACATGGAGAAACCCCCTCTCTACTAAAGATTACAAAATCAGCTGGGCGTGGTGGCGGGTGCCTGTAATCCCAGCTACTCAGGAGACTGAGGCAGGAGAATCGCTTGAGCCCGAGAGATGTAGGTTGTGGTGAGCTGACATAGCGCCATTGCACTCCAGCCTGGGCAACAAAAGCGAAACTCCGCCTCAAAAAAAAAAAAAAAAAAAAACCAAAAAACCCAAATCCCTAATTTTAACAGTTATATACACCCCTTGATAGAGAATATCTAATTTAGAGAATATTGAAAATTTGCAGAGGAAAATAAATAGCATCTTTAACTCTATAATTTGGAAATAGCCATTGTTTAATTTTTAACAATGAATTTGTTACTTTAATCTGTATTTTATATATAGTAAAACAGCATTTCTCTATGTCATTGGACATTCTTTGAAAACATAATTTTCTTTCTCTCTCTCTTTTTTTTTTTTTTGAGATGGAGTCTTGCTCTGTCACCCAGGCTGGAGTGCAATGGCGTGATCTTGGCTCACTGCAACCTCCACCTCCCGGGTTCAAGCAACTCTCCTGCCTCAGCTTCCAGAGTAGCTGGAACTACAGGCTCATGCTGCCACACCCAGCTAATTTTTTGTATTTTAGTAGAGACAGGGTTTCGCGGTGTTGCCCAGGCTGATCTCGAATTCCTGAGCTCAGGCAATCTGCGTGCCTCGGCCTCCCAAAGTGCTGTGATTACAGGTGTGAGCCACCACACCCGGCCTCATAATTTTCTAATGTTGCATAATAATGCATCACATGAATGACCATAATTTATTTTTCTCCTCATATTAGTTTTTTGGTTTTTTGATGTTTTGTTTTGTTTTATGATTGCAAAGGCAGTTCCTCTGTTCCATCTCTTATTTCCTTGGGCTCCCTGTCTAGAAGTAGGAATTAGAACTGTTGAAAGTGAAAGCATTTATTATTTTTTTTTGTTATTCTCAATTAGTTTGACTAAGTGGCTTTCTCATTAGATTGTTGAAAGTGAGGGCTGAAGGGTACGAACATTTTTAAGGCCCTTGATACTGTGAACTCCAAAGTATCTGAGACAGGACTCAATCAATTTAGAAAGTTTATTTTGCCAAGGTTAAGAATGCACCCGTGTGGATCACGAGGTCAGGAGTTCGAGACCAGCCTGGCCAACATGGTGAAACCCCGTCTCTACTAAAAATACAAAAAAAATTAGCTGAGCGTGGAGGCACGCGCTGTAATCCTAGCTACTTGGGAGGCTGAGGCAGGAGAATCGCTTGAACCTGGGAGGCAGAGGTTGCAGTGAGCCGAGATTGCGCCACTGCACTCCAGTCTGGGCGATAGGGCGATACTCCGTCTCAAAAAAAAAAAAAATAATAATAACAAATGCACCCGTGACACAGCCTCAGGAGGTTCTGAAGACCTGTGCCCAAGGTGGTTGGGGAACAGCTTGCTTTTATACAATTTAGGAAGAATAATACATGAGTTAATACATGTGAGATTTATGATGGCTCAATCCAGAAGGGCGGGACACCTTGAAGGGGGTGGGGGAGGCTTCAAGGTCATAAGTAGTTTGAAAAATTTTCTGATTGGCAATTGGTTGACTTATTATCAATAGAAAGGAATGTCTGGGTTATGATAAGGGGTAGTGGAGACCAAGATTTTATCATGCAAATGAAGCCTCTGGGTAGCAGGCTTTAGAGAGAATAGATTGTAAATGTTTCTTATCAGACTTAAGACCTGTTTCAGGTTAACTTTGGAATGCCCTTGCCTGGGGGGTGGGATCCATGCAGATGGCTGCGGGTCGAGGAGGCCTTAGAATTTTATTTTTGGTTTACAATACATATTCCTAAATTGCCCTCCACCTTCTTTAAAAACCTATAAAAGGCCAGGTGCGGTGGCTCATGCCTGTAATCCCAGCACTCTGGGAGGCTGAGGCAGGCAGATCACAAGGTCAGGAGTTTGAGACCAGTCTGACCAACGTGATGAAACCCCCTCTTTACTAAAAATGCGAAAATTAGCTGGGCATGGTGGTGCATGCCTGTAATACCAGCTACTCAGGAGGCTGAGGCAGGAGAATCACTTGAACCTGGGAGGCAGATGTGCAGTGAGCTGAGATCGCACCACTGCACTCCAGCCTAGGTGACAGAGTGAGACTCCATGTCAAAACAAAGCAAAACAAACAAACAAACAAACAACCTATAAAAACAGATTCAACTACAGTTTTACCTTTGTGTTGCTAAAGTCATAGGTCATTGGCACCTCCCTCAGTGTTTAGAAATGGAATAGAGCAGTTACTATTTTAATGGCCTATCAAAACAAGTGGTAAGCTGGCTGTTTAACAGAAGTAGCACGTGATACTGTCTCTAAACTGGTTCTTTGCTAACGTTAATTAGCTTTACAGTCAGGGTAACTTATTTGTTGATGATATACCGTTTCCAGAAAAATTACACTTAAACCTTAATAGTTTTATATTCCTGACTGGACTTTTTATGTTGGTAGCATGGTCTTCTTTTTGTTGATTTGCTTTTTAAAAACTTTATTTTGGAAGGTAAAAGATACACAAACTAGAATAGTACAATGGGCCCCTTCCATACTCACCACCCAATTTCTGTAATTATCAATATTCTGCCATTCTTGTTTCATCTCTGCCCTCCACACCTTTTTTTTTTTTTTTTTTTGAGACAGAGTCTTGTTCCGTTGTCCAGGCTGGAGTGCAGTGGCACGATCTTGGCTCACTGCAGCCTCTGCCTCCTGAGTTCAAGTGATTCTCCTATCTCAGCCTCCCGAGTAGCTGGGATTACAAGCACCCGCCACCACACCCGGCTAATTTTTGTGTTTTTAGTAGAGACAGGGTTTCACCATGTTGGCCAGGCTGGTCTTGAACTCCTGACCTCAGGTGATCCGCCCATCTTGACCTCCCAAAGTGCTGGGATTACAGGTATGAGCCACCACACCCGTGCCTGGCCCAGATTATGTTTTTTTTTTTTCTTTTTTTTAGACGAAGCCTCTCTTGTCTCCCAGGCTGGAGTGCAATGGCGCGATCTCGGCTCACTGCAACCTCTGCCTCCCGGGTTCAAGCGATTCTCCTGCCTCACCCCTCCGCCAGATTGCTTTTCTAAATTAGTACTTCAGGCACCTCTGTGCTTGATAGTGTAATGAGGTTGTCTATTACCCCAGGCCAAGGGTTCCAGGACTTTGCCACAGATTTCAATCTCTTGGAAAACTTTTAAAGCTCCCCACGCCCAGGACAAACCCCATACCAGTTTGATCAGAATGCTGAGGTTGGGACCAGGCATTGTTATTTTTTAAAAGATTCCCCAGTGATTGCAACTTGTTTCAGAACTACTGCTCTTTAGGGCTAAAATAACAACACAAGGACCGGAGTCAGGACACCTGGGAGTTTGTGGCAGCTGTTAATTTCTCATAACCTCTTTAGGGCCTCTCTCTGTGTGTAAAAGTGTCCTCTATGGCTCTAAAATTCTCCTTGAAGTCTAACCTTGTTAGACTGGTGTTCAAGGCTCTGCAGAAACTAGCTTCTACTCATGTCTACCATTTTTTACTTACCAGGCTTCCAGGGCCACCACGCAGCCAAACGTGCCGGACACGTTCCTTTCTGTTCATCTTTGCTTGCTCTGTCTTTCACTACGTCTAGGATATGCTCCTGCCTCCCGTCTGAATAAGAGACCTGTTTTAACCTTGTGGTCATCCAGATGTAACCTCATGGACCTTTTCCATCTGAGCTCCTTGGCCAACAGTAATCTCTCCCACCTCTGAACTCCAGACATACTTAAACTTAGATCCCACATTTGGCAGGAGGCAAAACTTACTATATGTGGTTCATTTTTATATGTATGGTCTGGACCCCAGAGCCAGACCTAGGCTCCTCTTTTCATGATAATATGGAGGTAGAAAAGGTGAAATGTGGCAAAGTTGGGAGCAGGACCAATTTTCCTTATTTAGCCTCCTATTTTCTTAATTCTGTGTTTTCTTATATACTGCTATTTTTCCATACACACGCATACATGAATACATATATGAATGATGTACATGTGATATATATGAATATATAGTATATATGGATATCAATGATACATATGTGAGATGTATGAATATATGTATCAGTGATATGTATGATATATGTGAATGTGTATGATATATATATGATATATACGTGAATGGTGCTGCTTTAGAGTATAGTGGTTAGTGGTTCAGGATCCTCCCTCAGGATCCTTACAATATGAAGCTCTTAGCATAGGACCTGGCTCAGGTCAGGTACTCAGCTGTGACTATTGCTATAATTACTCTAGTAAGATTCCTAAGGGAATTGATGGGTACATTTTCCTTCATTTAAAAAAACCACTTATCAAGTTCCCTCAGTGTTCAAATGATATGTGGGAATTGGAAGGTTTCAAAAAATATATTGTTTACTCAAGCAAAACTTAGGACATTAGGGCTAACGGGAGTTTCCAATATTTTGTAATAGACTAGTCCTGGAAAAGAATGCTGGTCACGTTAGTCCACAGAGTCCCTGCTTTTTAGGAGCAGACTGCCTGGTAGGAGAAATGAAATGTGTATCCCTGCTTAAGTATTTTCATTTTTTTGTTTGTTTGTTTGTTTGTTTGAGACGGAGTCTCACACTGTCGCCAGGCTGGAGTGCAGTGGCGCGATCTCAGCTCGCTGCAACCTCTGCCTCCCGGGTTCAGCGATTCTCCTGCCTCAGCCTCCCAAGTAGCTGGGATTATAGGCACCCGCCACCATGCCTGGCTAATTTTTTGTATTTTTAGTCGAGAGAGGGGTTTCACTATGTTGGCCAGGCTTGTCTCGAACTTCTGACCTCGCGATCCACCCGCCTTGGCCTCCCAAAGTGCTGGTATTACAGGCATGAGCCACTGTGCCCGGCCTGCTTAAGTATTTTCTATATGATAGAAAGTAAAAATGCTCTGAGAGAAGCAAAACATCAGGGGCTATTGGGAGTTCACTGTGAACCCTTCAAAGCCTCCAACCCTGCTGAATAACAACTAGAAGCTTATTAAATATTTTGAGAGAATTCTGGCAAGCTCAGATGTCAGGCGGGTGCGGGGCTTTTGTCCCCAGAGCATTTGGTTTTAGGCTAGACAGTACTTGCTGTTCCTGCACCCTAGAGCTGTCCCCCAGGCATCTGTGAGGCCAGCTTCTTCACCTTGCCTCAGTGTCACCTGAACGTAAGTAGCAGCTCCTCATCACTCTCTGTCCCTTTATCCTGCTGCACTTTTCTTCTTAGCACCTGTCAACACCTGACATACTATGTATTTATTTGTCTTATGACTTTCTTTCCCTAAGATATGGGCTCCTTGAAAGAGGGACTGTGTTCATTCTCTTCACTGCTGTACCAGTGCTCAGAACATGCCCAGTGCAGCGGAGGCCCCCACATTAAGAGCCTCGGCTCTGGGGCCAGACAGCCTTGGTTTGCAGCGGGCAGAACCACTTGGGCAAGTCACTTTACCTCCTTGTGCCTCCTTTTCTCCTGTGCGAGTTGGAGATGGTAATGGTACCCACTTCATAGCGTTCCTGTTTAGATTAAGTGAGTAATTACTAACGAAGCCTTCAGAATAGTGCCTGGCACATGGTAAATAACACTCAGTCCATGTTGCTTTTACTGGTGATGTTATTCTTCCCTTCTGTTCGAATTCTTTGGCTAGAATGAAAATGTCAAACTTAGGGCAAAGATTTCTTCTAAAGAACCTTATATATTTTCTCTTTTTACGACTTTGATGCAGGTTCTCCACATACGATTCTACTTGTCAAATTGCCCAAGAAATTGCGGAGAAAATTCAACAACGAAATCAGTATGAAAGAAAAGGTGAAAAGGCACCGAAGGTAATATCAGGAGAGAATTAGTACCCAATGATTTGTTTGAGTTTTGAGGTCCAAAAACCCTATCTTCCTTTGAGGCTCTCTGTGCACATGTGTGTATGATGATCTCTCTGCTTACATATGTTGAATTGGCAGAACAGCCAACCAGTTAGTAGTTATTTAAACATTGAGACTAAATGAAGCATAACACATTTAAGTTCTCCTGTTTTACTTTAAATATTTCTAACAATTTTATAGTCTAGTTCAAGGGTTAGTAAACTTCCTCCAGATAATAAATCTTTTAGTTTTTGCAGGCCAAGAGACAATGTCTTCAAGTCTTTGAGTTTCTATCCTCACCACAAGGATAGTTATAGTTTTTACATTTTACATTAAAAATGTAAAAACAGGCCAGGCGTGGTGGCTCACACCTATAATCCCAGCACTTTGGGAGGCTGAGGCGGGCAGATTGCTTGAGGCCAGGAATTCAAGACCAGCCTGGGCAACATGGTGAAACCCCGTCTCTACTAAAAATACAGAAATTAGCCGGGCATGGTGGTGCACACCTGTAGTCCCAGCTACTCGGGAGGCTGAGGTGGGAGAATTGCTTGAACCCAGGAGGCGGAGGCTGCAGTGAGCCGAGATTGCACCACTGCACTCCAGCCTGGGCAACAGAGTGAGACTCTGTCTCAAAAAAGAAAAAGATGTAAAAACCATCTTTAGTTATGGGCTGTATAAAAACAGTGATGGGATTTGGCTAGGAAATAGATTTTTGTGAAATCACAAGTTTATACTTGTGATTATGATTAAAAATGTAAGCCTTCGATTCAAATCTAACAGCACACCTTTCTTCCTTATTTTCCCCATTCCAAATTTGTATGTGCTTTCTCTCACACTGAGAATCCTAGTTTCCAAAAGCATCAGTATGTTTTTACTCATATGGTCTATTTTACAGTTTACAGAAAATGGTTTCCGAATGACTGTAAAGTACCGCGACGAACACTAAGTTCAAACTTTGAGTCTTTTTAAGTTTAGATTAATCTACTAAGAATACTGAGGTTATTATGTTCCGAAGTTATGAGATTTTTTTTTAAAGAGTTTAGCTTTCAAGTTCAGGGGTACATATGCAGGTTTGTTGTATAGGTAAGCTTGTGTTATGGGGGTTTGTGGTACACATTATTTTGTCACCCAGGTATTAAGCCTAGCACTTCCTATTTTTCCTGACCTCTTCCTGCTTCCGACTTCCTCCCTCTGCTAGGCCCCAGTGTGTGTCATTTTCCTGTATGTATCCATATGTTCTCACCATTTAGCTGTCTCCTGTATCAACAGAGTGAACAACCAACCTACAGAATGTGAGAACATGTGGTATTTGGTTTTCTGTTCCTGCATTAGTTTGCTAAGGAGAATGGCCTTCAGCTCCATCTATATTCCTGCAAAGGACATGATCTCGATCTTTTTTACTGCGGCATAATATTCCATGTTGTATATGTACCACATTTTCTCTATCTGATCTACCACTGATGGGCATTAGATGATTCTATGTCTTTTGTTATTGTGAATAGTACTGCAGTGAACATACACATGCATGTGTCTCTTTCTGTTTTTGAGACGGAGTTTTGCTCTTGTTGCCCAGGCTGGAGTGCAGTGGTGCGATCTCGGCTCACTGCAACCTCTGACTTCCAGGCTCAAGCGATTCTCCTACCCCAGCCTCCTGAGTAGCTGGGATTACAAGCGCCTGCCACCAGGCCTGGCTAATTTTTGTATTTTTAGCAGAGATGGGGTTTCGCCACATTGGCCAGGCTTGTCTCGAACACCTGCCCTCAGGTGATCCACCCACCTCGGCCTCCCAAAGTGCTGAGATTACAGGTGTAAGCCACTGCACCCCGCCCACATGCATGTGTCTTTATGGAAGAATGATTTCTGTTCCTTTGGGTATATACCCAATAACAGGATTGCTGGATCAAATAGTATTTCTCTTTTTAGTTCTTTGAGGAATTGCCACACTGTCTTCCACAATGATTGAACTGATTTACACTCCCACCAACAGTGTATAAGCATTCCTTTTTCTCTGTAACCTCGCCAGCATCTGTTATTTTTTGACTTTTTAGTAATAGCCATTCTGACGGGTGTGAGATGGTATCTCCTTGTGGTTTCGATTTGCACTTCTCTAATGATCAGTGATGTTGAGCTTTTTTCCTATGTTTTTTGGGACCATGTCTGTCTTCTTTTGAAAAGTGTCTGTTTATGTCCTTTGCCCGCTTTTTAATGGGGTGGATTTTTCTTGTAAATTTGCTTAGGTTCCTTATAGATACTGAATATTAGACCTTTGTCAGATGCATAGTTTTCAATTATTTTCTCCCAGTTTGTAGATTGTTTGTTCACTCTGTGGATAGTTTCCTTTTCTGTGCAGAAGCTCTTTCGTTGATTAGAGCCCATTTGTCAGTTTTTGCTTTTGTTGCAATGGTTTTTAGTGTCTTTGTCATGAAATCTTTGTCTGTTCTCATGTCCAGAATGGTATTGCCTAGGTTGTCTTCCAGGGTTTTTATAGATTTAGGTTTTACACTTAAGTCTTTAATCCGTCTTGAGTTAATTTTTGCATATGGTGTGAGGAAGGAGTCCAGTTTCTATCTTGTGCACGTGGTAGCCAGTTATCCCAGCACCACTTATTGAATAGGGAATCCTTTCCCCATTGCTTGTTTTTGTCAGGTTTGTCGAAGATCAGATAGTTGTACATGCAGCCTTATTTCTGGGTACTCTTTTTTTTTTTGAGACAAGTGTTGCTTTATCACCTAGGCTGGAGTGCAGTGGCATGCTCTTAGCTCACTGCAACCTCTCCCTTCTGGCTTCAAGTGATTCTTGCATCTCAGCTACCCAAGTAGCTGGGATTCCAGGTGTGTGCCACCATGCCCAGGTAATTTTTGTAGTTTTAGTAGAGAGAGGGTTTTGCCGTGTTGGCCAGGCTGGTCTCGAACTTCTGACCTCAAGTGATCTACCCGCCTCGGCCTCCCAAAGTGCTGGGATTATAGGCGTGAGCCACTGTGCCTGGTCAACTGGGTTCTCTATTCTGTTCCATTGGTCTATGTCTGTTTTGGTTACTGTAGCCCTATAGTATAGTTTGAAGTTGGGTAGCATGATACTTCCAGCTTTGTTATTTTTATTTTATTATTATTTTTTTGAGACAGAGTCCCGCTCTGTCACCCATGCTGGAGTGCAGTGGCATGATCTTGGCTCACTGCAACCGCCGCCTCCTGGGTTCAAGTGATTCTCGTGCCTCAGCCTCCTGGGTAGCTGGGATTACAGGCATGAGCCACCACTTCCAGCTAATTTTTGTAGTTTTAGTAGAGATGGGCTCTCGCCATGTTGGCCAGGTTGATCTCGAACTCCTGACCTCAGATGATCCTCCTGCCTTGGCTTCCCAAAGTCCTGGGATTACAGGCGTGAGCCACTGTGCCCGGCCCAGCTTTGTTCTTTTTGCTCTGGATTGCCTTGGCTATTTGGGCCCTTTTTTGGTTCCATATGAATTTTAAAATACTTTTTTCTAGTTCTGTGAAGAATGTCAATGGTAGTTTAATAGGAATGGCATTGAATCTATAAATTGCTTTGGGCAGTATGGCCATTTTAACGATATTGCTTCTTGCTGTCCATGAGCATGGACTGTTTTTCTATTTGTTTGTGTCATCTCTGATTTCTTTTATTTATTTATTTATTTTTTCTGAGACTGAGTCTTGCATTGCTGCCCAGGCTGGAGTGCAGTGGTGAGATATGGGCTCACTGCAAGCTCCACCTCCTGGGTTCACGCCATTCTTCTGCCTCAGCCTCCTGAGTAGCTGGGACTACAGGCGCCCGCCACCACGCCCGGCTAATTTTTTGTATTTTTAGTAGAGACGGGGTTTCACCTTGTTAGCCAGGATGGTCTCGATCTCCTGACCTCGTCATCCACCCGCCTCAGCCTCCCAAAGTGCTGGGATTACAGGTGTGAGCCATCGCACCTGACCCGTGTCATCTCTGATTTCTTTGAGCAGTGTTTTGTAGTTCTTCTTGTAGAGATCTTTACCCCATGGTTAGCTGTCTTCCTAGGTATTTTATTTTCTGTTGGTAATTGTAAATAGGATTGCATTCCTGATTTGGCCCTTGGCTTGACTGTTGATATACAAGAATGTTAGGGATTTTTTTGCACTTTGATTTTGTATCCTGAGACTTGACTGAAGCTGTTTGTAAGCTTATTGAGCTTTTGGACTGGGAGTATGAGGTTTTCTAGATACAGGATCATGTTGTCTGCAAACGGGTAGTTTGACTTCCTCTCTTCCTATTTGAATACCTTTTCTTTTCCCTCCCTCCCTCCCTCCCTCCTTTCTTTCTTTCTTTGTCTCTTTCTCTCTTTCTTTCTCTCTTCTCTTTTTTTCTCTCTTCTCCTTTCTCTTTCTTTCCCTCTTTCTTTTTCTTTCTCTTTCTTTCTTTCTCTCTCTTTCTTTCTTTTTCTCTTTCTTTCTCCTTCCTTCCTTCCTTCCTTTCTCTCTCTCTCTCTTTCTTTCTTTCTTTTCCTTCCTTTCTCTCTTTCTCTCCCTTTCCTTGTCCTTGTCCTTTCCTTTCCCTTTCCTTGTCCTTTCCCTCTCCTCTCCTCTCCTTTTTCCTTTCTCTTCTCTTTTCTCCTCTCCTCTCCTCTCCTCTTTTTCTCTTGCCTAATGGCTCTGGTCAGGACTTCCAGTATATGTTGAATAGGAGTGGTGGCAGAGGGCATCCTTGTCTTGTGCCAGTTTTCAAGCAGAATGCGGCCAGCTTTTGCCCATTCAGTATGATGTTGACTGTGGGTTTGTCATAGATGGCTCTTTTATTTTGAGGTATGTTCCTTGAATACCTAGTTTATTGAGAGTTTTTAACATGAAGTGGTGTTGAATTTTATCAAAAGCCTTTTCTGCATCTATTGAGATAATCATGTGGGTTTTGTCTTATTTCTGTTTATGTGATGTATCACATTTTTTGATTTACATATGTTGAACCAACCTTGCATCCCATGGATGAAGCCTACT